ATCAGTCCAGTCCTCCAAAGCCAGGTTGTTTATCTCGGGTACAGGGCCTCTTTCTCTCTGCATGTCTCCCACTGAACAGTCACCTTGGGAACAGCCTGCTCCTCCATAGTGTGGTCAGCACCATGGCTTTCAAATCACCTTCTGCCCCGCCTTCTCCACTGACCTTCAAGTCTCCATTTCTTTTTACATCTCCTTGCCTCACCCCCACCTCTAACTAAGGGTTAATGGCAGCTGCTGCAAACTAACTTGTTTTGAATTCTTCTTAAATATGAGACCATCATAGAGGTGTAACCAATATCTCTAATTGGCCAGCAACCTGTCCATCATCCTCAGAGCCATCAGAGATTGGCCCTAAAACACAGAGGGGCAGAGGTCCTTTGCTGGACATGATGGAGGAACCTTCCAGAACTTTCTCACAGAGCCATTTTTATGGTTTTCTGGTCCCATTCCCCACCACTAAAAAGCTGGACCAAGCAAAACCACCACAGCAGCTCTCTCAGGCGTGGTGAGGCAGGGAATCCTGCTGGCTCCTATGCCTGGGAGTGGGGCACGGGATCCACAGGGACAGAGGAGGGGCTGCGGAAGGGGAAGCGGAACCAAGCAGTTTGAGATGAGGAAGGGGCCAGGGCTACGGCTGGGGGTGGGTGGGGAAAGAGAGGGATAGGGGTTGGGGAAAGGGACAGGAATGACGGAAGGGCACAGTAGGAAGAGGGGTGAGGAGGCATGCAAAGGCAGGTGCCTGGTTGGGCAGGTAGCAGGAAGCCGCTTGCCCATAGATTCACCTGGGGTCAAGCCCAGGCTTGTGACGGCGCGTGACTCAAGCCGTCTTTTGTACTCCTGGTGCAGATGGATATGCTGCCTGGCATGGGCTGCATCCACCATCCCTGACCCAGAGAATGTGGCTCCAGAGCATCCCTRTTGTGTCCCATCCTCTCAGCTCTTAGCTTCTGCAGGAGGAGGTGAGTGAGGCTGGACAAGGACAGGAGGCTCTGGTTAGGCAGCTCCCACGTGCCATGGCTTTGAGCCAATGGGCCTGGTGCATCTTGGAGGAGGTGACCTCACCTGCACGTGTAGCACCAAGTACAGTGATGCAGCACCATTATGGTGATGTTGATGCTGAGAGCTATCATGGATTTGCCTTGAGGAGAAAGGAGAGAGAGGGATTGTGGGTGCATAGGAGTCCATTGCTGGACCTGCCATTAGAGCTGAACTGATCCTCCTCCGGACAAATGGATGGGCCCCTGTTCCCATTGTGGGTGCCACCTGCCCCGTGGGATGAGAAGGCTTTGGGTGCCCAGGCTGCGGTGGCGCACACGGCAGACATAGCTGTGCCCATCACGGGGGGTCACGGCCAGGATGCTGCGGAGCTGATAGGTGAGGTCAGCATTGGGCAGGGTGGWGCTGGTGTTGAGCACTGGGCTCGGAGGCACCTCACAGCCATCCCGCAGCCAGGCCACGCTGATGGGACGAGGGTAGAAGCCGGTGACGTGGCAAACAAGCAGCAGCTGGTCTAGGCTGGGGGTRYGGGCRAAGACTGTGGCYACAGGCAGCTCTGGGGAAAGGTTAAAGGGCTGGGGAAAGCCCTGGTGAGGCATGGCTTGGCCCCAGTGTGGGGGGCATTGGGGTGGCTGTTGCAGGGTCAGGGTGGTCTCACCTTGTCTCTTCAGAGCTGCCCTCCCATACTCAATGGATTTCTTAATGTATTCGACACAGGTAATATTGACACTGCAGGATTGCAGAGAAACTGGTGAAGGTGTTGAACAGTCCCACAGCTTATATTGCCAGATCACTCTCCTGCAATCTCTCCRTGTCTGTTGTCTGTTCAAAGCTGAGAAGTTGTGGGCATTTTAGGCAAGATGTTAGAATTTGACATACAAGTCATTGGGAAAGAAGTTGCAGCCAGTGGTGAACTGGAACACAAAGGGGTCTGCAGTGTGAAGGGCATCATGACTGCAGGCTGAACTGGCAGGCTGGCGCCCAACTCTTTGTGCACAGCCCCTTTCCTCCTTCCCTCTTCATCCTGAATCATTCTCCCCAGGGAGAAGACATGTAAGGCAAATAGAGTTGAAACTGGCCATTGTTGTATTAGAGAACAGGAAAAACTTTTGTAGGTGAGTTAATGACAGCAGAACTAAGGAAAATATTGGACTAATACCCATTGAAGATGGCCAYCTGACTAACAGAAGAAAAAGCAGAGATGGTCAATGAGGTTTTTTGCCTCAGTCTGTACTAATACTGAAGGAACTGGTGGATATTATGGCAGGACACCTCTCGATCATCTGCCAAAGGTCTTGGAAGCCAAGTCTCATCGAAGATAACCAACATT